CCCGCCGCAAACTGCCCCTACCCTCCCCCCCCCCCCCCCAGATCATCGGCGAACGAAGCTGTGGCAGTTACAACCACTGTACGACCAGTACGCGGTTCTTACAGCTGACAATGATGATGATGACCGTTCTCTCAGTTTTGTGGACTGTCTTGTTTAAGCCAACGAATCAGGTTTCTATGTGACCAGGTATCGTAGACTGACTCAATTCGGATTTCTTTTCGTGCCGTCATTTGAACACAGAACGAAATGCTGTAAGATCATTGCTAAAAAGAGCTGAACTAGTAGGTTTGGACAAGATTTTCAAAGCAATAAGGTCAATTATGTCAGGAATAGACTCTATCTCCAGTGGCTTAATGCAGGAGCCCCCAGTCGAAGGAATACAGAACCAGCTTAAATCTTCAATATGCCCAAGTTGTTTTAGAAACGTGTTTGCGAACAATTTTCTAGATAGAATCTCAACTGGCAAGTAGTTATAAATATGGCTAGAATATTGCACACCCAAGTGCAAAGACGCCGTCTAAAGTTTTCCATACGCCATTTCAGTTGCATCGATCAGTTGGCATTGGTCGGAGACGGCGGATTTGCTACCGAGCCAACATCAGTGATTCACGTAACTTTTCTGGTGACGTAATGTAGTAGCGACCGCTTTGGCCCTGTGAGTAAACTGACCATTGCGAACAGTGAAGCCGATTTTATCCAGGACTGCATTCGCAAGTGTGTTTTTCCTTAATTCTATTAGAATACCCTGCGTAGGCGTCACATCCCACCCGAAGGAATACCCCTGAAATGCCATCCGCTCAGCCACGTCGACGTTTTGCAGACGATATATATAAGAGAGGTGATACTAAAAAGATGAAGGAACAAATAACGGACTCCTTAAAACGACCATTTTACCGAGTCTCAGTAGGAAAATCTGCTGCCAACAGGGACGCTCGTTCTCCTCTCATATACGGGATCCCAATGACTAACGAGGAAGACTGTCCACTGTATCCCATCCTTGATATAAGAAGTTCCATTAACCATGCAACTGCTAGCTGGCTGACGGGTAGCATGTCCGGATTCATTTGTGTATCCACAATTACAACGATATGTCGGAAGTCCCTTATTTGCCCTTATATACCTTACTTTGTATGAAACGCTTGATTTTACCTTCAATTTTATCATCCAAGTGAAAACTACTATAGTGACCCCGGTCTTGGATTTCGAAGAACTAATTCTACGATGTACACTTAATATGCACTTTGTGTTCAGTGACCCTATCTTTGGAAAAATAGATGGAACAGCAATGGGCTGTCTGCTTGGTACCAATTCAAATATTTGCATCAGTAAAATTGGTCCTGTAATCAAACAACTTCCGCCTTACAGATGCCACTTTGATGATACGTCACCTTTGAATAAACTGTTACCTCGCGGGAGCCAATTCGCCGGTATTTCAGTCCACAGAGCAGTCCAATTTACTGAAGAGGGAAGAATCAGCGACAGGTTTCAGTCTTTAAAATTGCATTAAATCGGAGACCAGAGGGTACTGTAGAGACGATCTACAGAAAGCCAATGTGGTCGGATCAGAAAACCTCCACACTTTGATGGAAAACTACTGAGTTCTAATTAACTAGGATCGGTCAGTTCACTGAGGCCTGAAATGGCACGCGAATCGGCGCTGCACTGTAGTATGTCCCATATAATGTTTCATACGTCTTGCAGCATAAGCGTGCGGGATGAATCCACCCCGCACATTAGTTGATCAGATTGATGACGGTGGTTCAAAACCCGGTATGGCTGTATGCGGCAATCTCAAATTCTGGTGGTGCGTTCTTTGATGGCCGAAGGGGTTAGAGCGCAGTTTTACCGATAGGAAGGTTCATGGTTCGAACCCTATCTCTGCCTCTCGACTTCCCCTCTCTAGGCTTCAGAAACCTGGCAATATCCCAGCCTTCGTACTCCCTTCGGATGGCATGGCAGGTAGGCAACGAAAGGTTGCCACAGCTAAACGGTTTAATTATATTCTTTGATGGATGCCATTTCACATCCCGTCGGTGCCGTGTCATCCTTCAACTAAATCTCGGATCCACAAGTCGGTACAGAAGTATTACCGACTACTCAATGCCGAAACGAGTTTCGACTGATTGAATAAGCAACATTGGGCGAAAATGGTTATAGTCTCATTGTGTGGCTAACCAGCCGATTCAGTGTGCATGAAGATGAATACTGTAAGGCGTGTTGAGAGCCTTGAAACACGACTCTTACGCGGCAAACTTCAAGAAAGAACAGGGATTTTAGCTATCTCAAGACAGACCAGTTACATCTTGTTCTCTCTTCAAGTGTGTACTGAACCCACTGCTATCAGAAACTGGAAACCAGAACCGTGTGAACAGACCATACCGATCATACTGTTGGCGCTTGCTTGGTGTGCCACCAGCTATCAAAATGGCGGTGGTGAAAACTCCTGCCCTGTTCCATTTACGTGCTACTGTCCGTAGTATACAACCGTAGAGATGAAATACATCCGTGCAATGGTTCATTCCTCTGTGCTTTCTTCATATGTTGAGAAAGTTAAACAAAGGATTGTAAGCCAACTATACACAAACAGCTCCGATACAAGCTGACCATCAAAATCGATCGCGTCGCTCACTCTCCAGAGAAGCACACTGGAAAGGACTGTATGACTAATCCATGATCCACCAAGATTAGCTAGTAAGATCGGATGGTTCTGGTTTAATCCATATCCTTAGTCTCACATTTTCGGTTAATCAGATGCCCTCTCCCGGCGTAGGGTGTAAACGAGCCAAGGGAGATCAGCAAAGTATGAAGGCCATTACCAGGAAACTCAGCTGCGTATATCATTGCCGTCTCCCTGGATGGGGACCCCAGGACGTGACACACCAATGGTTGGAGACGTTGTCAAACATGGCCCAGTCACGCTCCCAATGGCGCTCGCGCATCCAAGCTATTGCGTTCAATGCATTACCCTCTTCTCGATCCCCCAACCCTGTATTTATGCATCAATTATATCAGCTCCCGCCTCCAATGCGTAGCTATCTACCCTACCTCCTCAAATCACCAATCAGTGAATGAAACTGTGGCACCTGTAGCCGCTCTACAAGAATGCGGTTCTTACAGATGACGATGATCTCCGTGCCTTTTCAGTCCTCTTTGCAAACCACTTCAGATATACTGCAGAGAGAAGACACTGTGGAGTGTCCGGACTAATCAATTGTGATCGTCATCCAACAATTGTAGTTTTCGTCAATTCGCTTATTAGATGCCCACTATTCCTTTTGGAGTTCTTACAGGTATTTAGCACATCTCGCCACACTCATTTTGTGTAGGATCTATGGGTTTTCACTGGCGAGTGCTCAGTGTAACCAGCTGGTAACGCACGATAACATGCCTGTGATGGAGCAACAGCGACGGCAGATGGGTCAGAAAATAGAACAACGAGCATGGATTTCGCTTCTGATCAGGAAATCAAGAGAAAACTTAGTGTCGATTAACAGTGGGTTGTCTAGCTGAGATAAAACAACGTGCTAAAAAAAGAGGACGAAAAATAAGATTGTTGTCTGGAGAAAAAGCGCCACAAAAAGAAAGTGAAGTCGGATTGTACGAAACAAGTGCAAAGTCAAAGGAATAAATAAATATCAGAATGTCTCGCGAATCTTGGAAGTTGGTCCCATCACCAGAAAGTCCAGCCACCAGTTTTGTTGTGACCACTTTGGCGTACCTGGATATTGTACCCAGCCTGAGCTAATTGTTGAGCTGCATTTGGAACGTAACCTGGAGGGGGTGGCTGAAAATTCAAAAGCACAAAGTAAATCTGGTTAGAAATCAAGCTCTGACTGTAATTCACAAAAAAGTTAAGCTCTAGTGTGAACACAGTATTGCCTAGGTTACACTACAAGCCATGATTGAAAAAAACAAACTCGTCGATTTCCCCTGCTAACCAGACGTACAATTACGTTGAAAGAATAATATCACAAAGAAGTCATGTTCCAATAAAACAAGAGGCAGCACGTCAAGGAATCTTGCTGCAAAGCTTGACTGGTTTTCAAAGTCAAGCGGAGTTTGTCACTGAGGGGAATTTTGTTACCTGAGGTCGCATAAATAGTCTTTGGTTGTATGGGCGTGATATACTACTCATAAGGTGGCTGAAAGCTCTTCGACAACCTTCCGTAGTGTGTCACGTCTGCACAATGTATTGCGATACTAACTGGAAAATGAGAAAGCCTGGGGCAGCATTTTCAGTTGAATAAGAACATCTGCCGTGAAAACAGAATTGGTACACAGGTGAGTGTACTTCACTAGTCTGGTTCATTGGCTAACCTGCGCCATTCATTCACAAACACTTCGCCACCAGTTAATTCAACATCATCAGTGCGTTGCTGTATAGCGGCGTGGAGTGCACAACAACTAATGCACTAATGATGCTAACTCGTTTGGTGTTTAAATCTTGGCAACCAAATTGCCTAGCTCAACGAACAGACTAAAAACCGATAACCGGAATCGCGAAAATAATGTAAACTGCCCTGTGATTTAGGGACGCATTGATCACATCTTCAAGCTCCGTCAAGTCCGCACGTATGAAGATCAAGAGGTGGATACATAAACCATTCACAGTGCAAACCAGTCATGCAAATCAAAGAAAGCATAAAGCTTGGTATTGTGCTAGGTTGTGTGCAGAGGAATAATAGTAAAGGTGTGTTATATCTGACTGCTGTCCCCAATCCAGCGCCTAGTACCAGAAAAAACTCGCCGACAAGGAACAAAACAGCTTTAATGTGAACAAGCGAGTAAGCGTGCGAAAATGCAACGGTCTCGCGCTATATATTTAGGGGGCACTGTCTGACCTTGATCCAAGGCTGTCTCGCACTATCTGTCTTTGATCCAAGGCTGCCTCGCGCTATATTTTGAAGGGCACTGTCTTACCTCGATTCAAGGCTGTCTGATCGGGGTTTAGTGGAGTTAGAGGGCCTCAGAAGGTTTCGGATATTCTTGGATAATCTCCAGGAATCTGACCTTCCTGACAAGGTGCACTTGGGTTGGCGCTCAAATCGCTGAGCTGATCCGGGTTCAGTAGGTCTATACGCAACGGCATAAGTCACATTCACCATATTAGTTGTTTGAACTGTTTGCAAAAGATTCCTTATAATACCGGCCGTGTACAGAGTACAACGATTTACGGAAGTACACATGATCTAAGCTACCCATCCCTCATGATACTCAGTTGATTCCTCTGTCCCCATTGACTCTTCCGACCACTATTACTCGCTTCCACTTAAATTCAGCGATCCTCAAAAAGCATCTTCCTTCCACGGTGCTATTGGCGCTCCCACCTGCTGACTTGGACGGCATTCGACAGCGCTGACTATCGTCCATGGAACTGCTGAATCTCCCAAGTTCTACAGCTTTTGCTGGGTATACCACAAGCGTCCATAATGAAGCGTAAAAAGTAAAATCATTTAGTCGTAGCACTCTTTCGGTACCTAGTTGCCATGTCAACGGAAGGAGGCACGAAAGCTTAGATGCAGCGAAGTTATCCGAACACAAACAGGAGCAGTCGAGATGCTGAGGTTGAGTTCGAACCACGGACCTTCCAGTACCTAGGCCGGCGCCTTAGTCACTTAACTATCTCAAGCCTATCCTTGGTGACAGAACGCCAGTGAACCACTTGTTAATGGTGCAACTCCCTCCCATTCTAGTGTATTTTCCTCAAGCACATCTTTGTGTCGAAATAAGAGCCGATGGCGTCCCTCATTCAAACAGTTGTTCCAGGCAATTGCCGTAATATCATCATCAACAAGACCGCAAGGATGTTCACCGGTTGTGGGGCCAATCAGTTCAACAGACGCACCGCAAACTTATATTTCTGAAACCCCGTAAAAGCAGTCGGAGTTTCTGGTCTCCCTCATATCATGCGGCTCCTGATTTCAATGGACTGCTCATCTTTGGAATCCTCCTACACCATATCCTGCTTTCCAAATTCCCAAAATTTTTAAAACTACAGCTAAATTTCATCCGTACAAAACTCCTAAATGCTCCACAGCTGTCCTGTACTCATATGCTATTTGTTTCCCACGCGTTAGTGTTTTTCAGATTTGGGAGAGTTTGAGTTTTGAACTCATTTGATATGCATCAATCAAGGATTTTTCGAGTCCTACCATGTTTTGCACTTCAATTTTGTGAGTGATGAAATAACAAACAAGAAGGGAACACAGTAAATACCATACGTTTTGTCACTAGATGGACTGGACTGCATCGTTCACCCTCATAGAACAAGTGTAGGATCCAACATCCCAGTGGCATGTCCGCGAAAGTAGCAGTGTTAAGAAATGGTGCTTGGAAATGGCAAAATGGGCTCCGTTTCCTTCCAAATGAAGTACGTGTGGGAACAGAGGGTACCCACGTAACGTGTCGCAGCGCATCTAGCATGACTTTGGGTTGTGATGCCTGGGTACTGCATGGTGAACATGAATATACTATTCAGCATTCAGTATTGGTCACTGAAGGGTGTGAGATGGCTCAGTGGTTAGAGTGCGAATTTGTTGACCGGAAGTTCCGCGGTTGCAACCCGATTTCTGCATCCCAGCTTCCCCTGTCTAAGTTTGATCAACCTGGCCGTATCCCAGCCCTCGCGCTTCCTTCCGGTGGTATGGCAGTTAGGCATCGAAAGGGTGTTACAGCTAAAAGATTATTATTATTACTGATCACTGAAGCACCCTAAACTCGTCGTGCGTGCATTTAAAAAACAACATGTATACTATTCCACTGTACTTAGCCCACTGCCTCTCACCTGCTAGATTACTTCGGCTACATCAGTCACTCTGGTTAAATCAGGTGCCTTGTACTATGATTAATTACCTCGTTTTGCGTGTTTTCTATTGCAAACGACTATGGGTCCATGAAAAGCATACTCGTGTTCAATCATGTGAGCTGTAACATTGACATATTTAAGAACCACTTCATCAATGACGAAGGGCGACATTCCTACACCTGTTGATACACAATATCAAGCAACACTTTACGGTGTTTTCAACGGCCCAACTTCACTCTGAATCATACTTACCGAGAAGTTGAGTGCGTAAAAGCCGTCAAGCCTACAAGCCAACACAATCGTATCATGTTCTATGAGGTTTCCGGTCACAGCAAAAAAGTGGGAGTTTCATGGCTTCCAGTTTGACGGCAAACACTTCAATCTGACATTAGTATAACAAATTTGGTTCAGTGTGTTGTCCACTAGGGGTAGGACGCACGTGGCGAGAGAGCTCAGTGGTTGGTGTGCGAGTTTACTGACCGAAAGGTCCGTAATTCCAAACCGGCCTCTGCTTTGCGACTTCCCCTGTCTAAACTTGGGTAGCCTGTATCCAAGCCCTCATGCTTCCTTTACGTGGCATGGCAGCTAAGCACGGAAAGGGTGTTACAGGTGAACGATTATTTTTTATTATTTATTTTGTAGTTGGGATGTGGAATGCAGCGTTATTTGGTACAGTGCTCCCTCTACTTCTCTGTAATAACTCTGTAATGCGATCATGAAAATATGAAAATATAAGTAGTGAATCCCTCTCTGACTGGACCACTGGCGAACTACAACTGAATTCCTCCTGCATTCCGAACGCCGTAATAGGGAGAGACCACTGCATAGCAACGTATGCAAACGTGTACATACGGACGTAACTCACTTCCCAATGACCTTTTGTCGAAGTCCTACCTATTGACTAAATTAGTACGAAAGGCGGTAAGTGTGCTACAGTGAAATATTCAACATTGCTCAATAGATAATCGATCCGTTTAAAATTATGTGCCATGATAAAGTCCATCCTTTTCATAGGGGTTGTACAGAAGCAACAGATAGGAAGACCTGAAGGTCAAGTGCTTTTCGTTCGTTTGCCCTCGACATTCCTCCAAATTATTTTCGTGATTGACTCAATTTCCTCCATAAACTTTACCCGAGTTATTTCCTCTACTTTACTGTTTATCATCGATGTTCGAATTATGTGACAACCTGAATCGCAATACGCGTTTTATGGTCAAAAGTGAAAGAAAACCTCATGCCGGTTTTAAGTAAATGAAGGCTAGTTGGGACACCTATAAAAGGCTTGGAAAGTTCTACACAAAACCCTCGTTCCGCACTAAATAAAAGTAGAGGTTACACATCCATTTGAGGGTACCGAATTCCCCTTAGCTTACTTATCTTATACGTGCAATTAGGTTATATCCCTATTTTACGAAACTCTGAAATCCGACGGAGTTCGCTCGTGAAAGTGGATGTTGAGGATTGGTCAAATTCTCTTGTGCCTACAACGACAAGAAAATGAAACTAATCACTGGATAGATATTTTTACGCTAGCCTGACTGAATTGCTATATCCAAAACTTAAAATGTAGAAGCAGATGTTTTTTATCCCAAATAATAGAATGCACATCACGTGTCCAGAAGAATGAAACAAATTATGGAGAGAGAGCCCGTCGTGTTTCTTCACTACCCTGTACCTCAGCAACCATGTGCTTATGTGCCATCTTCACATGGAAAAAATAAAGTTCGACTATGTACTACGTGTTTGTAGTCCTATGACGGAACTCTTTGCATCCCTCGCTTCTTTCTAAGATTCAGAACTGCGTTACCTGCCTCCGAGGCCAATACGACCGGTTACCCAAGCCAAGATCGGTCGCATTGACTGATGACACCGGTCTAAACTGGGATCGAACCGGTCAAATAGTAGTCTGGCTGAATGCCAGAGCTGTGCATTTGGTGGGTATGACCGGAAAATATAAAGACAACGCACGCGGATTATTA